CTAGGAGCACTTTACAAGTATATGTATTTTCTAAATGGACAACTTACCCTAAATGCTCAATTACTGATGGACAATCTACACTCATTCCTATATTTGCTTTCTACAACCAACTCACTGTACAACTTTTCATAAGTGATGTACCCAAATACTTGGATGCTAATATTTAAACTGTATTGTTAAATTTATTCACCTAAATTTGGGTTATTGCTGATTATGCACTATATGTATCTTATGACTTTTAAACAAACTTTGTATTTGTGGATAATCTAAGCACTATACCCAGATGTACAGACACTCTTTTCTTAACCTGTGTATTATATAATTTTTAACATTAACTTTAATAAAAATTTTATATCTATACTGACAAAGTGCTTGTAGTTTAGACCTGGCCTAAATCGCAAGCTGCCTGCCTGGCACCTTTCTCCAGTACTAAATATACTGAAAAATATGTTTGTAATCTTTATTGACATTTTCAAAAAAGTGTTAAATTACATGTTCATTAAATCTTAAGAAAACATAGAAAGGAAAGGAAAGAAGTAATTTATCTAAGGTTTTGTAATTGGATGAACTGTGTGCATCTCCTCAAGTATTTGATTATGGATTTTTCTTCTTTGTTTACCCTTTCACTTGACATTATTGAAAATGGTTGCCATGTTATAGAATTACAGTATGTACACATTGCGTTATGTTCATTGCGTAATGATTGCTGAGCTTTTCATAGACATTCAGGATTGTGAATTCTCTTTAATATGTAAACTCTTATGACTTCTTCAGTTTTGTGGTATACAACTGTGCTATTCTGCCAGCATAGGCTAGAAAATCTCACTTTCTGTGAGGTGGCAAAGCGTAGTTTTAGTACCTCACAATTCTCTCTTGTACTCACAATTCTAGGAACAGTTTGTGGAGACATTTGCATACTGTATGTAACAATTCATCCGTTAATATCAGTCAGATACAGGTAGTCACAAAACATTCTAATCCTTCTATATATATATATACTTAAATATATATATATAGAGAGAGACTTCCTTTTTGTTCTTTAGTTCTCCAAGCTTCTGAATCCTATGAACAGCTGTCAAAATCTGGTAAACTATCTAGATGCTTTCACAATTTGTTTAATTGGATAGTTAGGAAATGGCATACAAGAAAAGCTTTTTCTTTTCTTTTTTTTTAAGTCTGGCTGAACATCTGTAGCATTAGGGGCTCATTATCTCAGAATTGGCATAGCAAATCAGTAGCATCATTAAAATGCCACATTAAGATGATTAAGTTTCTTTGTTATCCATTTGACTTTTTGCATGTGTTGAGGATTTCATTATTATGACCCCACTTCTCGTACAATACTTGAGCAACATCACCCTGTTGTGCTGTTGCCTTTAATGGCTTCTGATTCTTAATCTTTCTGTCTTCGGTAGCATCAGTAACAAACTTTGCTCAGTAACAGCACAAAACTTACATTCTTTTCCCTGTGTTTGATGTCAAGGAATTGGATTAAGCATGGCAATTGAAGGCTGTTCCCCTGAGAATTCTTCTTAGAGAGTATAGTCAAGACAACACACTCGTTTTTCTTAATTATTTGCTGTTATTGACTTTTTATTATTATTCTTTAATTTACAGAGCATACATATGCAGAGTTTCTGTGGTGACTCAGTCTAATGTTGCCATCACAGCTTTATATTTTGGATCTTTTCCAGAACCCATTGTTTTTACAGTGTTTCAGGTGAAACAAAAATATTACTCTGGAGTATGTCTTTCATCTCATAATCATCACCCCAGGAAATGAAACCATGTGCATCAGCCCTAATGTATCACACCACCACTTTGCTGTGTAAAATCTACCAGATCCTTTCTGCTGTGTGTATTGTCTTCAGGAGGGGCCCCAAGAATGTAGTTACCCAGGCCAGGACAGATTAATTAATTCTTCTCTATTAACCTCTTCACTTTCCTGAACGCGGAAGGGACAATATGTATTTCAGTGAGCCCTTTGAGAATATCCTCATCTTTCCTCATTTTAATTCTCCTCCCCCATTCTGTGCATTCTCCTTTTGGCTGAGGAGGACTAGATTGGACATTCTCTGGAACCTGTCAAAATCTCTCTTTAAGCAACATGAAGCATCCCCACCCAACCACCAGTGTTATGCTTCCATAGGGCTCCCTATGCCTGCCAGCTTGCAAAGCAAAAAGGCCAGGACTAGAAATTGAATTTGTCTCCTGCATGGCAGTGCAGACCTCTACTACCACTTGATCAATTATTGACCTACTTTTCCTAGGCCATTTCTTTTCCTTGGGAAAATGGCATAAATATTGCCACTTGTTCTCTTCTCTTCTCCTATCACAAGCACACTGAGGGACTTTGGTAGTACTACTTTCCCCTTAATTATGGCCAACATCTTAAGGTCACATTTCTATTCCAACATTCACTCAAAATGAAATAACTCTTCCCTAATAGGTTCTGCTTTCTGCTATCTTTTAGTTGTCAGTAGCTGCAATTTTCCGTTGAGGTTCTTTTAACGCCTACATGCAAACTGAAAAGCACTCAAGCTTTGGTGGGATATCACCGACAGCTGGAGTGGTAGCGATGATTTAGGGGGGAGGGCCTTGATCAGAACTCAGGTGCATCCTTCTCATTTATCATCAGAAAACAAAAACATTGCAAACAGTGTGCAATAAGGAAAAAGCAAAACAGTTATTTTCCATGGTGGAACCGTAAGATATTGCCCAAACTATACCAGTCTGCATCATCTATCTCAGTGGAAATCAGGGACAAAACACATGTATATTATATACACTAACATTGGCATATTTCTCTAAAGAGTAAAAAGATGTGAACCATGAACTTGTGGTGGGAAACAGAAAGGATAAAACTATAGAGAAGTCTTCTACATCAGAGGTTAAGACCAGTTCTGTTCCCCTAAGCAGCTGCATTTAATACAGATGACAGGTAAAACATTAATTAGTAAGTGGAAATTTAAATGTATTTCTGAAGGTATCAGCAAGGTGCTGCTGCAGTGTGCACTTTCTTTTAACACACTGTACAGGACCTGATGAATTATTTTGTAAGAATTGTCTTCTTTTATTAAAAAATAAATCTGTGTGGAAAAGAGTTTTGTTTAACATTCCCCCCAACAACTAGCAGTAAGTATTGTGCAAAGTTATAAAACTAGAGGCTACACTAACTTTTGCTTGAGCCCTGTCTGCTCTGGAGAATCCCCCACTTGGGGGCATGGGAATGGGCAGCAATAGCTTCAAGCAGGGAAACCCTGTCCATGTTGTGACTCCAAAGGAGATGCACTGTCCATGAGATAGATAGGGAGGCAGGGTTACTCCTGAAACAGATAAGGCGAAATAAGGTACCTGTGTGGATGAACCTCTGGTGGACCATTACCCAAGACCGGTCTGAATCCTTGGGTGATCTGTGGGCTCTGAGTGCCAACCTCCCTGCGCATAGAGAGGAAAGGGGAAAGAAACACACTTCCTGCTGACAGAATCATCTAAGGGAAAAACTGAGGGAGACCTGGAATTTTCCTCAGGACCAGGATCCTCACAACCACTTGCTCCCCGCTCTCCCCCACACCTTTAAGCCAGAAGTAAGGCCACAGGCAGAAAATTGCACCCTAGTGAGAAAGGGTTATATTCTTAGACAAAAGCATACTTGGTGCCCATATAAATGCCTGAGCTCACTGAAAGTCTTCAGGACATAGGAGTATTTTTCTTCCATACTTTAGCTGAGAAGTTTGACTTCATGAAAGGGTTTATTGCTTGTTTTTTATTTTTTCACTTTTTTTTTATGCTATCACTTCATTTTCACTGGCACCAATTGTTTTTTCTCTGCATCTGATGTGGTTTCTTTATCAGATCCAGAGATAATGCAGTTTTGATAGTCCATGTTCTACACATTAGAGAAAGGGCACGCACCTTGCTTAGCAGGAAAGCCATATTTAACTGTCTAACCCTCATTTCTGGAAAGGTGCAGGTGGCCAGGAGTGCAATACTTTCAAACAGGAAATTACATATTTTATCTCTAAGAGAATGGTCAGTCTCCTCATGTTTTTACTCCTGGAGCATCATTTCCCGAGTGAGGGGTTATTATTTGCAAATGGCTAACTACTTGCACCACTGTCCCATCTTGCCAGTAGGGTCATTTTCTAACCAAAACCTAAGAGGTTGTCTTCATTAGCCACCCAGAAAAAATGGGAACTCAAAGGACCAGGAGCCTATCCAGGGACATTTAGGAGAAGGAGGCCAAGTATGGCCTAGCAGTAGGGCAGTATGCTGATATTTAGGGATACCTGAATTCTTTGTCAGACACGTGCTATGTGACTGTGGGCAAATATCTTGGGGAGGAATTTGACCTCTGAGATCTCTTTGCAATTTTAATGGAAATTAATGGATGCTTCTAAAAGCTTTTGAGATCATTGGATAAAAGTTGCTATTTGAAGTGATAATTAGTGAAAATCCTGATGAGGATTGTTGAGAAGGGGTCTCGCCTCACACTACAATATAGGAACAGCAGAATTGCATACTGGATCACACCTGTGGTCCATCTAGTCAAGTGGCAAGCACCAAATGCTTCAGAGGAAGGGGCAAGATTCCCCTGTATTCTTGGCCTCAATGACACCCTGAGGCAATAATTTCTATAGTCTAATTATGTATTATGTGAACAAATATTTTCTTTTATATACTGTACAGTATGTATAATGTAATAACAATTTGATATATAGTGTATCATGTATTTATGTAGCTTAGAAGTAAAATATCCCCAAATATAATTAATATATATAACTTTTGTAAAGGTAATTTCTTTAAGATTATCACTATAAATGCAAGATCCATGAGGACTGATGTCTTAACTGTATTTCATTATTTTTGTGGATTTACGTCAAACATGCAGAGTTATTTTAAACATTTTTATATTAAATTAGCAGATGTGGATTTGTTTTAGAGAGACATTATAGCTTCTAACGTAATTTTTCATTTTGTGCTTTATTGTTCACCTGCAGATGACTTGGTTAAAGTGAAGGGTGAATACAATGAAAGAGAAGAGAGTGCTTTGAATTCAGAGCCTATGGAAAATACAGAAGAATCTGAAATACCTTACAGCTATCCAAGAGAATATAATGAATATGAGAGCATTAAACTGGAGAGACATTCTGGTTCATATGACAACATCAGGCCAACTAGTGGAAAGATGAACTGCGATGTCTGTGGATTAGCCTGCATTAGCCTCAATGTCTTGATGGTTCACAAGCGTAGCCACACTGGTAAATATCCGTATATTATCCTTAAAAGAGCTACATTTTGATAGCATATGATTTGAGTGTGGTCTAGTGATTAAAACGGTAGCAAGAATCACAGCTCTTTGTTCCATTCCTGAACCTGCAAATATGACCTTGGGCAAGTCACTTAATCTTTCTGTGCCTCTCTTTACCCATCTGCCTAATGAGTACAATAGTATTTACATATCGCATCAGGGTTGAATGTTTGTAAAAGCATGTTTGTGAAGTGTTTTGAGAATTTTGGATGAAAGGCACTAGCACTTCGTCATGTAAATACTTCTTAGTCAGTCAAAAACCAGGAGTCAAGCTGCTTTGCTGGTTGCTGCATCTTGTTTGTATGTCATGCTTCTCCTTATACCATACCTTAACACGAAGTCAATTATCATAATAGGTACAGACTGGGAAGAATTAAAAAGATTTTTTTCCCTGCAAATTCTCAACATATTAGAATCAACTTCCTCAAGAAAATTTATTTCCATTCCACAGAAAAACTATACATTTGGAATATTTCTCATAAACGGACACATTATGCCAAATTCTGCCCCCAGCTTCACAAGTAACTTCCACTGAGGTTAACAGGAGTGGTGTGTGTGTCCCAGGGCAGAATTTGATCCAGTATCTCATTCTTTCCTCCTCCAACAAGGAAAGGGTGAGGGGCTGGAGGTGATATCCATATAAATATTTAATGTCCTTTTTTTTCAATGTCATTTTAAGGTGAACGGCCATTCCAGTGTAATCAGTGCGGAGCGTCCTTTACTCAGAAGGGTAACCTCCTCCGCCACATTAAACTACATACAGGGGAAAAACCTTTTAAATGTCATCTTTGCAGCTATGCCTGCCAAAGGAGAGATGCACTAACAGGTCACTTAAGGACACATTCTGGTAAGTGACTACAGAGACACTTAGGTGTTGTAAATGTGTGTCACTAGGACATCAGTTGTGGAAAATAGAAAGGGTTAATCAATAAGGTTTAATCTGCCAATCGGATTCTGGAGACCTAACAATTTGCAATGACCTCTAATTCTATATATGGTACATTCCATATAGGGGCTCAGTTCTGCTCTTTGCTGCACGGATGTGCTAGTGAGGAAAAAGGCTGTAGGAAGCCTTTCTTTCAGGAGAGAATACTATGAGAGAGAGACCCAGTTACTCCACTTGTTTGCACTGCATAACATCTAGGTATGGCCTCTCCGTCAGGAGATGTGGCCATGCCATCAGACTCTCAGTTTTTATAGTTGCAGTAAACTATACTCCACTAGGGCTTTCTCTCATTCTTGTCTATTAGAGCTATCCTGTCCTGGATCATCAGAATGGCCCCGGGAGAATACCCAGGGGGTGTCACTCAACTACCAAATAAGACTTGCCCTTTTTAGTGCCTTTCATCTGAATATCTTAAAGAGTTTAACAAATGTTAATTTTTTTCAACATCCAATTAACATATTATATCCATTTTACAGATTGGGAAATGGAGGCACAAAGCTGGGGGTGACTTGTCCCAACACTGCAAGTCACTCAGAAACCTAGGGATAGAACCCATATGTTCTAATTCCTAATCCTGCTCTTTAACAGTCAGATCACACTTACTCCTTTTTATTTTTATATGTCCTTCATGTATTACATAGAGGTTTAGAAAAAAAGCATTTTGAATGACAGATACTATCTATGTACTACCGTATGCAGAAAAAAAGTTTAACCTTACAAAGAATCAAAGTTAAAAATGAGATTATTTTACATGGATAAACAAGGTTCTGATTTGACTTTGACCCAGATCAACAAAACTACATGTCCTCATCAAGACTCACATAAAAACATCATGCTTCAAACACATGTTCATCAACAATGCAGCAACCCTCTTTGGCACAGCTGTCAAACAATATGTGAACTAATAACCTTACAATCGGAAGCTGTTTGTGATTAAAATTGTTCTGAGAAGCCTGTTAGTGACTAATTAAAAGATGTTAAAATCTTTAAATAAATAAACAAAGGCCCTAATTATACAGGGTTTTGTGGTTGTTATTGTTTTTTGTACTGGTATAGAGTGCAACCCCCCAATATATATGTGTTGTACTGATTCAAGAAGGGGTTTGCACCTATGTGCCTTTGAACTTATCTACACATAGAGTGGCACTAGTTTAACTTAAGGGATGCTTTAGACTAATTCAATTAAAGCAGTGTAAAGGTTGTATGGATACTTTTATTTCAGTTTAAACCAGGTTTATTTCAGCTTATCTTAAATTGATTAGGAACATGTTTAACCTACATTGAAATAAGCCACTCTGAAACTGAAATAAGAGCATCCATATGAGGGCTTCCACTGGCTTTACTAACCCTGTTTAAGTAAATCAGTACAAGGTTAAGTAACAATGATTCAAGTCCCGTTTCACACAAGTGTAGTGTCTCTATGTTAGGGGGTTATGCTAAGAGAAGCTAGTGCTTAAGAGTAGGGTACTAGGAATCAGAGCTCTTAGGTTTTGTTCCTGATTCTGCAAATGTGGAGGCTAACTTATGAAAGTCTGATCCTAAGAGCACTGCCTCATGTAATCTTAGGATGTGAAATGCATTAAGGATAACTGAACAGTTCTGGCATGCTAAGGATGAACAAAGGGAGACTCTTTATTCTTCCAAGAGGGAGAAGATAACATCTGAATAGATCTTTTAAAAGCAACATGCTAATTAAATGATAATAATTTACATTAGTGGTGTTAGCATGGTATCAACAGATATGTATCTATTGCATATTTATTTTATATTCTACCAGGAAAAGTCTACCATTCAAAGTGCTGTATTCATTTTGTTAAAACTGTGCCTAGTTAGAAAATATCAGACATATTTTAGCAATTATTTATAAATTTACTAACATAAAATTACTATCCTAAGGTGAATTCATATCCCATACACCATAAATTTGATTGATCTGCAGAGTTTGGGTGAGAACAGAATCTAGACCCTGACCTGTGAGCAGTCTGCAGGGTTCCAGTAATGCCTTTCTGCAGTTATGATATCAGAATTTGGGCTATATGAATCTGTAAATCCAGGTCCAGTAACCCCTTTGGTCTGCCCCTGTAGGCCCATTTTCCAGTCTACTTGACACAAATTTCAGCTGCATGCAGTGCAGAAGCTCTCTGACAGATATTCCATCACTGTAGTAGGGCACTGCTGGACTTAAGTAATGAAGAGGGCCATGTATGGACCCTCCATACCGGGGTGAATTTCACCCTTAGTTAACCTTGATTTCATAGTAATAATAATAATAATAATAAATAATAGTTATCAATTATATAGGAATTTAAGGCATTCCCCAAGTGTTAAATTGACTGTTATCAGTAATTATGTGCTCATATGCCAGGAAGGCAGTGTTTCATCAGTCTCATGTGGTTATTTTATCCTGCCATCTTTTCTTTCTAGTGGAGAAGCCCTACAAATGTGAGTTTTGTGGAAGGAGTTACAAGCAGAGAAGCTCATTAGAGGAGCATAAAGAGCGATGTCGTACTTACTTGCAGAGCACTGGCATGTGTGAGGCTGGTAAGTTTATCAGATTACAGTGCTTGTCTTTGTATGTTACAGTGCCTTAAAAAGGGCATCTGGCAAACTGTTAATTTGCAGCCTGAAAACAGTTTTCACTACAATCATTTGTAGTAACCTAAGGGACTGCAGATCTTATAAAAAGGTCTAGTTTAATGCACCCCTCAGGCAGCTAGTTAAAGAACGCTTTTATTTTAATTACTTTTTCATTTCACTGTTACTTTCAATAAAACATCCAGAATTCTTCATACACAGCATTTCTGTAGGTGACACACACATTAAATTAAATTAGTCCTACACTAGTACTATTATGTGGTTTATTTCATTGGATGAGTTGCTGCTGGTATTTCATTACAGCAATTGTTTGCATGTGTTAGTCCATTCAGAGCTATTTTTCAGTAGATTAATATTTGCTGTTTGATACCATCATAATCAGTTAGAATTTGTTAGTGTTTCAAACTGCAAAAGTATAGGGCTAGGAGATGGAAATGGGGTGGGGATTCTGACACTCTTGATGGACCAGCCTCTAATGTAGAGAGAAGTTTAGATGGAAAATATTGAATAATAAACAAGGAGATAGAAATATGCATATTATGTGAACATAAAAAATCCATGTTCCATTTGCTCACTTTCAGGCACGCTGAAGGGGGCCCATATGTTATACTTGGCTTTTGAAGGAAAATGGGAAAATTGAGGTATAGGCAAAGGCAATGGGTATTAGTATTTGATTATGAGTTGCTACTTGGAGAAGAGGTCAACTGATTGAACTTAGTTTTGTAATTTTAAATAATTGACACAGCATTCAGAGCCAGAGTAGAGGTTCTTTTTATTGTTCTAAATTGAAACAAAATAAAATAAAAATAACTTTCTTGTGATAGTGTCTAAGTAGTTTAATGACTGAAAACAACCTTTTGTGAATGCAGGCAAACTAATTTTACATTCATGTAGTCTCTATATTGGTCAGTGACTTGAATTCCTTTAGTTATTTTGAAGCGAAGTTTGTCACCTGATTTAAAAGTTAATTTCCAATAATAGTTTGGAACTTCTGTTTTCCTTTTCATTACCCCAATACTGGATTTCAGAAAATATTTCAGTGACAAAAGTAACAACAATAATACTCTCTCTTTCTATAGCTCTTTTCATCAGAGAATTTCAAAACATAAAATAAATTAAGCCTCACAATATCCCTAGGAGGTAGGAAAATATAATTATCCTCATTTTACACAGGCATAGAGAGATTGTGACATGCTGAAAGTTTACAGAACTAGTCAGTAGCAGATATGAGTCTAAAACCTCAGCATTCTGGCTCCCATTCTCCTGCTGTTATAGGTAGGAACTTCCTGCCTTGAAAAGTGAATGTAAAGTATCAAGCTTCTCATTTTTGGTTCTGAATTTGAAATATATGTTTCTTTTCAAACAAAGAGTTTAAGTGCATGTTTTCCTCCGATAAAATATGAAAATTTTAAAATTTAAAATAAGGATTAAAATACTTCTTTTATGTGAATAATAATAATAATAATAAATAATAAAGTTACGGAATTAACATGGACACTTCAAACATAACAAAATTCTTGTCGGGATATGGCTATCAAGAAAAAATATTCAGCTATTTTAGACCCTATTTCTGCAAGCAGGACCACAAAGGTAAGCCCTTGCACTCACGGAGCCCCATTGATTTATTAGGACTCTGCAATGGGTGCAGGGATTCCTCCCCACCTTGCAGAGCTGCTTGCAGGTTTGGCCGTTAGTGTGCAAAAAAAAAAAATTCAGGAAATGATGATTTATCAAGTTAATTAGTGCTTCATAGAGTGTTTTCCTTTTTGCGCACAAAGAAATGTGTTAAGTATCAGTAAAAGTAAATGGTTAACTGAGTGTGTCAGCAAGTTGTGATTTTCATGAGAACTTGTACATACCATAACTGCAGTTTTATGTTACAAGGTACACTCACATGGTGGCAATCACATTGAGATGCCCACCACAGGGAAATTGAGGCACAGAAACTTTATACCTACTGTAGATTTCTGCTTTATAGTCGTTCCCATCATTTGTACTCACTTCAGAATGGCAACTTTTCACTTATCCATAATCTTTGAAATACAGTGCTAAAGTAGTACGGTAAGCCATAAATTGGTCATAGAGGAAATATAAATTTCCAGTACAGCATTATGTATCGGTATACTCTGCCTTTAAGGCCTCACACCTTAAAAAATATTGCAGCGTTTTTTAGTGGCATTGTAAGATTATGAAAAACAGGAACTCTAATCTTGCTGAGGCATTTCTATTCAATTCTCTGCTGTTAGGCACTGTATTAGATGGCATATTCTGCCCTCGTTCCACACGTGGAACGTGCATTGATCACAATGGCTGATATGCAAAAAGATTCACCTTACATTTGTCAACATTTCAGAAGTTTCCACCTCAATGTGGCATTTCCCCCTCACTGGTTGAGACAGCAAGAGCAAAATCTTGAAATGTCATATCGTTGCTCCTCTTACCCGTAACTCTGCTGCTGCTATTGTGATTATTATTATTTATTACAGTGGTGTCCAGAAGGCCTAAGTAATACAAGGGTCTCATTATAATAAGTGCAAAAACACATAGTAAAAGACAGTCTCTATCCAGAAGAGCTTTACACCCTAATTTAAGACAAGATGCAGCAAAGGGTGTAATAAATAAATGGAGGAAACTGTGGGGGGAGGATGAGGATAATAGTAATAGGAACATATGATTATGTAGACCGGCCCTGGGAACAATTATATGATTTCCATATGGTGCTTCAAGGAGATACACTACAGTGTTGCTCTGACATTTTTAGACATTCAGGATAATATTCAAAAATACCTAAGAGACTTTGGGCTCCTAAATCTCACTTTCAAAAGTGATTTTAGGTATTTAGGTGCCTTAGTCTCATCAAAAGGCAATGAGGTTTAGGTTCCTAAGTGCCTACGTCTCTTTTGAAAATGGGAATCAGGCTTCTACATCACTTCAGCCCTTTTGAAAATGTTATCCTTAGTCTAAGAACTGGATGAATATTGTGATTTGTACTTAAATGGATCAGATTTTTCTATTTACTCTCTTCTATGAAAACCAGAGCAGAGTAAGACCAAGACCTGTGTTCTCTGGAGTAAAAGCCAGAAATTCACTCTGGCTTGGAGAGGAACTAAATAGACTCCAGGAGCAGACAATATACTTCATAAAAATTTTCCTCAAGATAGATCCATGTTTTGATTACCAAGTCTATTCCCGCTGCTTTCAGGAGGATAAAATCTGCAGGCCGATTCCATTTTTTCTCATCCTTCTCCAATAGTTGCATCTTGTTACTAACTTCTAAATGCAAATGTTAACCTTCTTTTATTAAAAAAATAAACTAAAAACAAACATATAAACATATAATTTCCCTGAGGCACACAGGCTCTCTACAAAGCTTGGAGAATATTTATTCTTTTTAATGACTCCTGGACAAAGTCCATATATCTAAAGTTGAATTCCAAAAGTTAAAAGTAATATCCGGGGACTGGGAGTCCTGTAAGTGTCTTACCCTCTTAATGCCTCAGTTTATCTCTAAAATAGCTATAAGATTTACTGCACCTATCTTTTCAGAAGATTGTGAGGCTTAATTATTGTTTGTAAAGCTCTTTGAGATCACTGGGGAAAAAACACAACACACTAGTAATAATAGTAGCAGAAGCAGCAGCAACAGCAGAATACAAGGTGTATTATGGAAACCTAATGTATCCCTTAAAAGTTATGTCAGACTGTTCATAGAACTACAATTGAAAGAAATGAACTGAAGAAAAAGGCAAATAAAAAAAACAGAACTCTAGTTAAACAGAATTTTCAGCAATCTTCAGTTCATCCATTCTTTTCAAATTTTAAATAATTTCTCATTGCATTTTAGTATTCTACTTGCGCAGAATGTGGCATTGTAACAATATTGCTGAAAAAAGATTTTATGTAACAGTCTTGTTAGAACTTAGCTCAGTCCTTGATAACAATCTCTGATCACACCATTTTCTTAGCACAATAACCCACCTCTATGTTCCACTCTCCATTATTTAGTGACCACACAGTAGATGTGACAGGAAGCAATGCCTCTAATTTGAGCTTCATTTAGCACTTCAGGGTTTGCTAACGATGCCCACATGCACTAAAAAGTATAGTCACAGTGTGACAGAAACCACATTGTGGAAACAATTCATTACAGGCCAAATGATAAAATATCAATGTTCATGACTGGAAGAAAAGGACCAACTCCCTCTATTTCTACAGCATGGTAGTAGACAGTAAAGCTTACTAGAGACAGTGCTCTCTTAAGAAATTAGTATAATGAGTCTCTGCTCTCTTAAGAAATTAGAATAACGAGTCTAATGGTTATAGCAAAAGTGGAAGTCAGTAATGAAAAATAGCTCACATGTATGTAATGCTTTTCATCCCAAAATGTTTTTTAAACAAAGGACTAACACTGAAATGCGCACACACTTACACCTGAAATGCAAACACTGATAGAGTGGACAACAGCATTTATAAGCACTAAACAGATGTCTAAGACATTAAGTGAAGAATGCCATAACTAATTGTGACCTCAGGGAGAGTTTAATTGAAAATGGTCAGGACACTAGAGCTAACACTGTCCTACTCTTGGGTAGAAAACCACGATCAGAAACTTGGCTTTACATTTCACCTGAAAGACAGCTCCTCAGTGTTTGTAACACCATGCTAGGGCATTGATTAGTAAAGATTCAGAGGGAAAAATAATACCTAATGAATCTCCAACACTTCCTGCAGCACCCTTGGGAGTTTTTATAGTGCTGACCCATCCAAAGATGAACCATGGCCAACATTATTTGATTTGAATGACATATCAAGATCACAATCTAAAGTAGTATAACATCATTAAGAGTCTAGGTTTTCGATCACGCTGTTCAGTTACTCTCTATGTAACCCTGGGCAAGTCATCTGCCATTTCCTTGTGCCTCTGTCAAGCCATCCAGAAAAGAGTTTTCAGATGGTTGCTGATTTAAATCTAGATCCTTCTGAGCCATCCTAGGTCAATAAGTGACAAAACAACAAAAACAAAAAAAGATTCATGGTGTATTTAGATTATATTATTAACTACATGTTGAAATGACACAGTTTCTACTTGGAACATCAAGTGAATAAAGTACCAGAGTAGGAGTCAGGAGATGTGGGTTCCAGTCCTAAAGACTGGCCAAAAACTGACCAACTGCAATTGCAGTCACTTTAGAAGACACGTTGCCTCTTTGAGACTCAGTTTCTTCATCTATACAATGGACATAAAGATACTTACCTAACTTTGAGAAGTGTTTTGTGATCTTTGGATGAGGAAAAATGCTACATAACTGCTAAGTATTATTCTTTATTAATTAAATGGACAAGAATGAACAGGTAGATGGGATCATCTCAGGCCAGCCTTTAGACAGGGAGAGCTGCAATGATAAGGTGTGGGATAGCTGAGCCTATGCCTGTACGCCTCTGCTACAGAAACAAACATATTGTTTTTCTAGAACTACATTTTGAAGAGGTTGCAAATATATTTTGCAGCCCATATTTTGCAGTTTCTTAAAAACAAAGGGCTACTAGCATGTGGAAGAAAAACTTAAAATCATGAGACACAACAGTGTAGAAAACTGACATTTGCAGATGACCCAGAACATACTATGTAGGTCAATATTTAGTGTCTCTTCAGCAATCTCTTCTCTGCACAGAATATTAGTGTCACCCAGCAGGAAGCTGCATGTCTACCATTTTAGACTGTAGTGTAGTAAGGTTCCATCAGTGGTAAATAAATGGCATTGATAAAACCAATTTGACATCAAGATGCTAAGGATAACTCCCAATATAGGTCTTGGGCTGAGTAAAACATCTTGTATTCACCGTTTCTTGCTTCTAGAGTTCTACCAATAGATACATAAGGTAGATCTGAGAACGTATATTAAAAAACACCACCACCAAAAACTGATGAGAGGATACTAGGAAAGACTTAGAGGCATAGGAGGAATAAAAGAAAGTAGAAAAAGCAAACAAACCAAGAGCTGTGAACAGGAAAGAAATAAACAAGTAAGCAATACTGTTATCACATATTTATTGTGCCCTCTTTTGCGTTGATATTTTTCATTCCAGTGAAAAACTTCTGGGTATAAAAAGTGACCATAGTTTAAAACATAATCCTTAACTTGTTTTTGTTCAGGAGAGATGTGGGTAGCTGAGTTTCTTTTCGTTATTAATAGCAAACTGCCTTGTACAGTGATCCTGTCAAAATCAAAAGCTTACTGGGTTTAGGATGATTCAGAACTTTGATAGGAGACCTCCAAAGATAACCCAGGGTGCCATACGGAGTGGTGCTGGGGATTTAGTAAGGGGTGCTCTTCCCCCTGAATTAATATCAAACCAAATGCCCCAGCATGATGCTAAGGCGTATTGTGTTGCTGAATGTGACAGCATTTGGATGAGATGTAAGCTGACATTAAAGATCCCATTGCACTATTTGCAAGAGTGAACCCAAAGATCCTGGCCAAAATCCAACTTGGGTAATTAAATTTTGCCTACTTAACTTTCTCTTGCAGTTTCAACTGATTCTGGTATTCTTCTTCACTTCCCCACTTCAACTGCTATGTTGTGTTTGTATACTCTTTCACCCCAGAGGCAGCTGCATTTTAGCGGTTGATAAAGTGATCTCTGTTTATAGAATGTATATGTTTCTTAAGTTTGTTTAGCATGTTGTGATCCTTTGGATTAAAAATAATCACAATATAAAGGCACGGTATTATCATCTTTAAAACACTGTGAATGTGTTCACTTGTGGGCCTGATTTATCATGTAAATCAATGGAGGTACACTTACATAAAACCAGAGTAACACAATGGAGATACAGACCCTGTTATTCCATCCATTCTGAGTCATATATATAGCTAGATTTCATGGCAGGAGCAGTTTGATACTTAACACTTGTGAAGCACTTTACATTTTCAAAATGCTGTACAAACATTGACAAACTAAATAGTCATGGCTGAGGTTTGGTGAGTCATGGTTAGTACTGATTGAAATACATTCAATATCAATAACAGTAACAGTAAACAAGTAAGGTTTAACTTATTTTTAAATGTCAGAAAAATACTGCACAATAGCTTAAAGGAGGATGATATTGCACTTTTGTTTTCACAGCCATATTTTACATTATTTCTACTGCTGTATTTTTAGCAAATAGATTAATTTAGGTCTAATACTTTATAAACTGCACTTAATTGGTCTGCAGTATCAAAATGTTTATGTATCCTCCATTTATGATAAGACTTCTCTCCTGTCTAGACAAGGCACCAAATCTTATGGTATCCATGTGAAATATTATAACATTTAAATTGTCCGTTTACAGTGAGGTCATCCCACAGCCCAACCTGCTGTGTGCCCTTGGGCACGTTACTTCCCTTCCACCCTTTGTCCATCTTGTCCATTTAGATTGTAAGGTCTTTGGGGCACAGTCTGTCTCTAATATGTTTGTTTAGTTTCTACCCTGGTGTGGCCCTAATCTTGGTTAGTGCCTCTTAGTGGTGCTCTAATACATATAACCAGGGCCGGCACAACCCATTAGGTGACCTAGGCGGTCGCCTAGGGTGCTACAATTTAGGGGGCAGAGACCGCGGCGGTATTTCGGTGGCGGGACCTTCCGCTGCCTCTGTGGGGGGCAGCATTTCGAGGCGGGACCTTCCACCGCCTAGGGCGGCAGAAAAGCTGGCGGCGCTCCTGCATATCACTAATAATAATACCTGTCCCTGAGGAGAAAACAAGAATTTGGGGGCTAGAGCAGTTAAAATCAGAACGAGACTGGCAATACTGGGTTGAGGTGACAAACAGGTAGTCATGGCTGGTCCAGTTCATAGTTCTGGAGAAATCTGATGAGGTTGAGAGCATCCACAGTGTGTGAATGTGTGACAGTGGGCACTGGTTAGTCTTACTCTGGAAAATGGTAAGTTTCTTAAAATGGCCAAGAGCCACAGCACTAGATGAACAGACACACACTGAGTATTCCTAAATTTCAGAAATTCTAGGCAGTTTAAATAGTTTTAAATAGATCTGAATAGCTAATGATAAAACTACAGGCGATGCATAGATGGAGGGTGCACAGTGAATTTCAGTTGTAACAAACAGAAAAAATGTAAGACTAGATAACAGACTTTTTCTAGAATCTGGAAAAAAATGGGAATGGGAGACAGTATTGTAAGGCTATTTTAAAAAATGTAAAATTTATAGGAAGATTTTATGTTTCTTTGTTGCTAGCTTACTAATGACCCTAGTTTCTGAGCAGTATTATTAAAATACTTGCACTCTTTTGATAATATAACATAGGGACTGTATCTTTTTTTAAGCTGTCTTGAAGAATTTTGTTGGTCTGCAGCTGTCACATAGTGTTACTCAGAATCAAAAGGAAAGCCGAGCAGGGCTTATATCTCCATCTGTATTTTGTAACCAACCACGTCCAGCCTGTTTATTTTACACTTCCTCTTGCTAATGAAGATATTGGTTTTGTATGGGTTATGCTCTCCTGCACGAGCTTAAGACTGCAAGATTTGTGTGCGTTTCTGTGCTTGGTTCCACTGACCGCAACTGGTGCCCAAGACGCAAGGAACAAGAACAACAGAAAAACAACAAAACAAGTTTACATCAGATCTCCAGACTGTTTCCTTCCAGTTACTGTGGCAAACTCCGGAGATTAAACCATTCATCTCTTCCTTTTTTTTTTTTTTTTAACCTACGTGTGTTTTCTTTTCACATTTTCCAAACTAGCAAGCGTGGAGGCAAGGCACATCAAAGCAGAGATGGGGACTGAAAGAGCACTCGTGCTGGACAGGTTAGCGAGCAACGTGGCAAAGCGAAAAAGTTCAATGCCTCAGAAATTTATTGGTAAGAATAAAAAGTCTTTTCACATGCAGCAGTTAACTGTGTGAGGGCTGGTAACCAACAGGTACAATAGCAGTACTTGTTATGAAGGGCCCTTTCTAGTCCATCATGTATTTAAATAAGGTAACTTCTGCTTTCCTGCTGTACTTCTACTTACTGATTATAGGTATTTGATAAACAAGAGAAATTGTTCAATTAGATAAATGACAAATAGATCTGAATTCATACTGTATTTTGTGTACTTGTTTGTGTTAGTGTTTGCATGGTTAATAAATATACATTTTGTGGGTGGGGGAGGGGTTGTTTTGGAGCTCTGTGTGTGTGTGAAAACCTTTGTACCAGGGTTTTACTGGGGAAGAATCAGAGGGCTTGATCCTGTTAGGGGCGAGTACCTTGAACTCTCATCGTAGTCAATGGAAGTCGAAAGTGCTCAGTACCTCCTTGCAGGAGGCATACGGCACTGCAGAATAGAGCCCAAAGACAGAAAATTACTGAATTTTTGAAAGTCATTTTTAAACATTTGAATCTGAATGATAGGATCAACCCCCTTCTTGTTCTGGTTAAAAAAATATGGCCACAATACATTTCCATAGAATTTACTTTGGGTTTAATTTTATAAAATCAATGTTTGGCGAATTGGAAATCTTAAATAGCAAGGTCTCACATCATTTGTTGTTTTCTTTAGTGACTGTTTATAAAATTGCTTTCGTTTCATTTCAGTTTTACTGAATCTTGAGCTTTCAAAATGAGATTATAAACAAATGATCACAGAAAAATATTTGACTCTAATTTATACCACTGGTCTACTAAAATATCCCTGATGTTTTCTGCAGCAATCAAAATAAGTTTAAAACACGTTTCTCTTTGCCAAGTAGCCTGCTGAACTGGGTATATAGTACTAGTAATAATACTTATCTCATAGGTAGCTAGATTTGTTTCAAGTTTAAATAAAAAAAATATGCACTGTGGTATTTTAATTAAAATAGCTAACCAATCAAAGGTATAGTTTTTAAATAATCCTGTATATCTGAGTTTAATGGCAGATCCTGTTTCTCAGCAGTGTTTGATGCTGTTATCTCTGTCTGTTGGTCATAGTTATTTATTTTGCACTATATGAAGTTGTGTTTGAGCTCAGGAGTTTAATTAGCCTGCAGTTATGCAACATTGCTACTAATAATGTCTTAATCATAAATTTTCCAGAGGGATATATGTGGTACAGGATGCTTAATTTTCTTAATATACATTTTCTGTTGCAAATACTGGCCTCTGTGGTAATTCACATTCACACTCACAGAACAGAAAGAAACAGGATAGTAATAGAAATCAGCTGCCAGAACTTGAGCAATCCATTTTCATACAGTCTGATCTGCACCCTGCATAGAGGGGTACTAAGGATGTTTCTTGAAATTCTGGGCCCAAATTTTCAAATCTGGGTACCAAAGGGTAGGCTCCTAAGTAAAAATTTAGACATCTAAATAAAAGTGACCTGATTTTCAAAGGCGCTGAGCACCTATAGCACCTATTGGTTTCAGTGGAAACTCGTGAACTTTCATCACCCCAGAAAAACAAGCCACTTTTACATAGGCACCTAAATATGGATTTAGGACCCTAACTTTAGGTACCCAGGTTTGAAAATATTGGCCTTGGGGATTAGGCCTTGCAGGCCATACTGTGATTCCTAAAATGCTGTTCAAGTTCTTTAGCTCTTCTTTTTGGTATTGAGAGCAGCCTCAGATTTTTGTCATCATAATTCATTGGGGGTGTGATTTTGCAAGGTGCTAAACACTCTTGCCCAATGCAACAAAGAACTTAATCCTTGATTCAGTAAACCACTTAAGCACATGTTAAACTTTTCATTAGAATTTAAGCACGTGGTTAAAGTTAAGCATGAGCTGAAGTGCTTTGCTCAGCACCTTGCAGGATGGAGCCCTTTTTATTCTATTGTAATGCTTCATTGATACAGTTTATTAACAGTGCAAGCTGACACAGTGGTATAAAGAAGTGTTTTGGGGGATAAAGTTGGGGGCACTGGGGACATTCTTTTAGTGATATAGAGTAATTGAGTTCTGAAACATGTTGTTTCTCTAGAACCTCTGCTACAGGCATGACGTTGTTGGGTAATAAGTGAAAAAAGCATGAGTCACTCACTCCCTTTTATTCTTGAGTGGCATGTTTGCAGCAGCAGTCTGTCCGACCTTGGCTTGACTTTTGTGACTTCTTGAACTATATGTGCAGGAGGGAAAATCTGCCAGGACAGTTTTGTGATTTCTTGGGAAACCAAGTTCTCAGAAGGGTGCTGATTTTTCATTTCCTCAGGAAGGAGGGATAAGGAGATGTAAACCAACAGGCCAGCCTAGGCTCATTTCTATGAAAGAAGTCTACTAACAAGAAACACTATTAAATTGTCTGTTGACTTCTCTTAAACATGGTGACACTGCAGAGTCTCACCCTTTCTGTAGGCCAAATTCTGGCCCATCATGTACATGGCTCTAAAAGATTATGTATCACATTCTGACCAGCAGTGGCCCCATTGTGTCAATCAGTGGTTCTCAATCTATTTATCATTGTGGGCCGCATATGCGGCCCACAAAGTGTTATCTGGGCTGCAGGTTGAGAACCACAGTATCCCCCAACTAAACCCTCACACAAACCCCTATGCTCCACGCCCTCTGCCCAGAGACACCTCCACAAAGTGGGGCCAGGAGCGGAGAGCTGGGTGGGGGGCAGGGACCCCAACGCCCACCATGCGGGGCCCCAAGACCCGGACCTGCTGTGCGGGGCGCTGCCCGGACACTGAGCCCCACCATGTGGGGCTATGTGGCAGCTAGCTGCCTGGAGCTCACTGCGCAGCAGGGCAGCTGGGAGCCTGGAGCCCATGGCCTTTAGCACACAGCTGAGATGGACCACAGCTGTGTGCTAATTGGCCCGCAGGTAGAGAACCACTGGTGCAAATAATTTGTGTGGGTATGTGCAGTTGCAGTTGCCAGGACATATATGAATATACATGAACAAACCATACCCCGGACTCCTAAAACTTACCTGAGACCTTCCCTTCATGGCTCCTGTTGCAGAGGTTCTGCCTTTGGCCTTTCCATGGGTTTTGGGAGAACAGCTGTTACACTCCCCATCTTCCTGACAGATTTCTAATGTGTACTTCTGTGCACCAAACTTGTAGTATTTAGCACCTTGTAATTACCATTTCAGTTAGCCATTTTTTCTAGTTGTATGTTAAGTGGAACTGATACCCAGGAATAGGAATATAGCTTGGTAGGCAAACCTTTCAATTAAACTTGCTCATCTTTTGAATAGAATATACATTGGGGTAGATCCTCAGCTGGTGTAAATCAAAGTAGCTCTATTGAAATCAATTAAGCTGTGCCAGTTTACACAACTGCCCATATGGCTCATTTTGTGCTACTTCTTTTTGAGAGCAGTATTAAAAATATCTTTCTCCCCAGTGGTAAATGTGCTAGTACAGTTTTGAAACTTCAGCAAATACCGCCAGCTCTCTGTGTGAAGTAACTAATGAAAAATGGCCTGCCTTGGTTAGCAGAGCAACAGGAAGCAGGTTCACTCCCTTTTTCCAGTGTCCACACCTCATCATGTCACAAAAATCTGCATACTGCTGTAGAGTAAGCATCACTGAGCAGCAACTGGCGATGTGTTTGCGTTATATGATCGTGTGAATTCTGAAGGGGAAAGTTTTGCATTGCACTGAGGTGAAAAAGATAAACTGGGGAAAGATGTTTCTTAAATTGTGTAGTAGCTAGCTTTGTAAATCAACAGTAGAAGAGAATGTAGGCTTGGTTCTTAATTTGCTGTTTCACAGTAACTGTGTGGTACTTCCTTTGGGAGCAATAGCAACTTAACTCACAGTAATCTCTTGCATTGTCCCACAATGCTGCAATAAATAAAATTGTATCACTACTTTATGCCCTAATTAATCTTCTTCACTTTATTCCATGACTCTTGTGCACTCTTGCCTTTTCCTGATCTACTCTTCTTTTCTTTCACCCCTGTCTTGTTGCTGTCTTAATGGGGCAAAGTTTGAGCTGCCTTTTGTCTCCTTTTAAGCAAAGGCTTGTTGACTTAGAACACAGCAAAACCAGTGGAACTCCATCCGTTTGCCTATAATGTTTTGTTATCATTTGGTATGATGTAAATGCAGTGAAGAATATACACTTATTAATTTTTCTGACATTTAGTGCCTTCAATAATGAGATCTAATAATAATTCAACTTACTATATTATTTAATATGTAACACCTTTCATCCCAAAGTGCTTAACAAACTTAATAACCTGATAAATCATTCACTCACCACTCTTTATGATGTGGAATATGGAAGCTTTTTAAAGGTGCACAACACATGACATCCCTATTTATGTCAGGGGAGTGAAGTGGGATATTCTATCTAACTGAACTATCATATGGAATTTTAGGGAAGCAGAATGGAATTAACTAAGTGGGAATTTGAACAGGGCCTGAGGGCTCGCATATCTATTGGGAAAAGTAGTGCCAGATCGTTAATGACCACAAGAGGGCAGGACATTTGTTTCAAGTCTTATTTCAATGACTGCCGAGCTTTTTAACAGGAGTTTCATAGTAAGGTTCTGTATATTTTTGCTCTTGTTATTTTTTTATTTCAGTTTTGATTAAACCTTTCATTTGTCTAGAACTGGTATTATGAGTCATTCAAGTGTGTTATACCATTTTTGTTCCCTCTGAATAGAAGTTGGATCACAAGTTTTGCTGAGGGTTGGAAGCAGTTACATTCTTGTGGTTCACTAACCTTTTTTATAAAAGTGTTTTATAAAAGAAACGTGAGCTGCTGGTTTTGCTGTCTTTGCAGTGAAACCTGGTGAGTTTCATATACATTGAGTCATAGTGTCTACAGGTGACTGATAAACATCTGTACTATTCAAGTTACCGTAACTCAGAGATTAGTGGATCTGATGTTTGCAAGTCACTTGCATGTGAACATTCAGGCTTGTCCATTTTCTTAACTATGAAAGATTGTAAGTTTCATTTAACCACAGAATTCAGTTACTTATTTCTAGACATCCACAAAAGAGTTACTTCAGTCTTTTTTGGAGTGCAGCTTTCTTCCTTCTCTGCACCTGGCACACAAAGGGTCAGGGCCATGGCTCCACCCACGCTAATCTTCCTTGTCCCATACCTTGCTAGCAGGTTGTGTAGCCCCTCTGCTCTCTCCCCATTCCCTTGATGCTTGGATGAGTACAATGTGTGCAGCATTAACATAGGGCAGAGGCGGGCTTTGCTCCCCTGTGCAACTGCATTAGAGATAGTCATAATCTAGCCAGATGTAATGTAATGTTCCAAAAGAATACATTATCTCTACTTATATGGCTGCCAATACTGTATTATCTGAGAACCTTCACCGAGTTAAAAGGAAACAATTCCAGTCCAAGGAGAGCTATATTATGCCACAGTCTAGGTTGGGAATATGCATAAATTTTTGTTAATTTTAATGTATTAAAATACAATGGGCGTAATTCTCCAATGTAATTCTACAGTTTTACACCCAGGTAACATCATGAAGAATCAGACCCAATAAGAACAAACGAGCTGCAAAAAGAAAGCTTAAGTGAGGGTTCCCATGCAAAGAAATGTAAAAAGATTAAATGCAATCGTCCCAGAATTATGCCTATGTAATCTTATTGAAGAGGCCTTCCAACTACTTAATTTATATATAAAGCAATGAATGGTATAAGAACAGCCACACTGGGTCAGACCAAAGATCCATCTAGCCCAGTATTCTGTCTTCTGACAGTGGCCAGTTTACCCTCCCTGTCACAGAAGAGTACAATTTCTCAGGAGATGATCAAAGAGCTAGAGGGAATGTTCTCAGGACCTGCTGTGGATTTTGTTTATTGACTAATTGACTTTTTTTGCCTGTTTTGTTTTTCATAAATCAATTTTCACATGATTTTATGCAAAGATGAAGGAAATAAATCCTTGACGATCTTTCCTAAAATCTTTACCTTAAATCCCAGAACCATCAAGCTCAGTGATGGATTGGCCAGCAAGTTGCTTAACTAACTTCTCTATTGCTCCATTTCCTATGGGCTTGTGCTTCAAAAAGTCAATTTACTTACATAAACAGCATCCCTGCCCCAAAGAGCATACAGCTAAATTCAAATCTGTTTCCTTTTCATCGACTACTGCTATTTAGAAAAGGATCCTAGAGTTTCAATACTTTTACAATCCACTCAATAATTCAGTTTCTTTCCTCTCTTGTAGGTGAGAAGCGACATAGCTTTGACATTAATTACAATTCCAGTTTCTTGTATGAAAAGGAAAGCGAAATGATGCAAGGACGTATGATGGACCAGGCCATAAATAATGCGATCAGCTATCTTGGAGCAGAAGCACTGCGTCCCCTTGTACAAACCCCACCAGCTCCCACTTCTGAGATGGTCCCTGTCATCAGCAGCTTGTATCCCATACCACTCACCCGCTCTGAAATGTCAAATGGCAATCCACAAGACACAGAGAAGAGCCATGCCCACCTTAGAGACAAAAGTTTGTCTTCTGACAGAGGCCTTTCCCCAAACAACAGTGGCCAAGACTCCACAGATACTGATAGCAACCATGAGGAGCGCCAGAGTCACACCTACCATCAAAACCAAATGATCCCCTCCCAGGTCCGCAATGGCCTCCAATCTTTGAAGGAGCTCCCAAGGCCATATGACATAATCAAGCCACCAACCATATGCCCACGTGATGCCTTTAAGGTTATCAATAAGGAAGGTGACGTCATCGGGGTCTACAGATGTGACCATTGTCGTGTCTTGTTTTTGGATTATGTGATGTTCACCATTCATATGGGATGCCACGGATTCCGTGATCCTTTCGAATGCAACATGTGTGGGTACAGAAGCCAAGACAGATATGAGTTCTCCTCACATATAGCACGAGGAGAGCACAGAGTGGTCCTGAAGTAAAAGGATTGATTTTCCAAGAGACCAAAGGATCTGTTTTAGATTTGTTTGTTTTTTAAATCTGACTAAAAAAATTGCTTAAATATTTTTTGTGCCAATTCTAAAAATGTTAGTGTCCCTCGTAGTAGCAAAGTACTGATGGGGCTTTTTATTTGTTACTCGAAATGCAGTATTCTGTAGCATCTGTGCCTAGATACTGTGGTGACTGGCACTATATATAAATACCAAAGATTGGCAGATACAGATTTTGTATGAACTTTATTTTTGTGAAAATTAATAGCAACTTAAGATATGTTTTTAAATATTTTAACATGTATTTTTGTTAGAACATTGCTTCCAGTAATAGCAAAATAGCAATCTAGCTGTATTCTGAGTGAAATACAAAGTCAAATATTGATGTAATAATTCTCATAAAAAAAGTTGAAATTCAGCACAAAAGATTGTCCATCCTTACTGCCCTTTCAGAACCACTGTATTCCAGCCAGTAACACACAAGAGACACTTTCTGTTAGTGTTTCAATTCCTGAGGTATTCCTAAAACGGCCAAATTATTGAAACAGGGAAAACACATATCTGGGCAGATCGTATCAAATAACTTGTAAATGTTTCCCCCAAAGTCTTAAAGAGTGTGTTATCTCACCACACTTTGCTTTTGCTTACCCCACTCTGTTTACTTTCTTTAAAGTCTCTCCCCACTCACCTCTTACTCAGTAATATCAAAATAAGCCATGTGAGCTATTTGGGGCTTGGGTTTTTTTAACTGGGTACGCTTTTGGGATACCCATCGAGACCCTTTGTTGGCTTGCCTCTAAATTCTGGAGGAAATCCTGCTTTTCATTGATGGATCAAGTATGTGTCTTTCTAACAGAACAAAATTGCAATGAGACTAAGACCCGATTCTGCTTCCATTGACATCAATATCAAAACTCACACTGACTTCACCTGGTGCAGGAGCAGTCTCTAAAATAGCAACGGGCAAACAAAATGCTCATTAAGGCAAATGGGATTTTTGCTTATCTAAGGGCTGCAGGATTGGGCAGTATGAGGTTACTGTAACTCAGGGAGAGAACAGGGAAGATAACATATAGAACAAATAACACGGAAACTTTTTGATTTAGAAAGCAATTTTCTAATGAAAGTGTACTGAATGTGAAAATAAAGGTCCCGAGTCTCCTCTCACTTGTGTTACACCCGTGTGAGAGGAAAGCTAGGCTCAAAATGTATTGGATCAGATGCTACCCTCATTTATACCCATGTAACCTCACTGATGGCCATGAGGTTGCGTAGATGAGCATAGAATTTGACTCAATATATTTTGGATTTAGCGTTGCCAAGTAGAATCATAGTGTCCTGGCAGATATTAGCAGTAGCTACCGTGAGAATCTTCATGTAAGAATGTGTGGGAGCGGACAATTCAATCACACTTTCTGGTTTACATGGGGATATCCCTTGGAGTGAAATGTGCTGTTTTGCAAAATGAGTATTTACGATTACTTTGAAGACAGTTTTTAAAATAGTTCTTTTAATCTAATCATTGTTCTGCAGCTGTATTATTAGTCACTGTGCTGAAGATGTGAATATGATAATAATTTTGCTGAGTGTATGTTTATTTTTTTTAAATCTTTTATATAATGTAGTTAGATGTGTTCTGCTGGATTTTTTCATCCAGTGAGTATTTGGTCTGAGCACTTATTTTGTACTTTTTCAGTGTTGTGTCAACTGCTGTGTAATGTGTTTCACTTTTTTCCATGGAGCAAAAGTGGGAGCTAGTGTTCTGAATAGAGGACTGAGTGTCAGGAAATACGGAATTCTAATTCTGCCTCTGACACTGGCTCCTTCTGTGATCTTGGACAAATCACTTCACCTTTCCCTGACTTATTTTCCTCGTGTAAAAAGGGGATGATAATATTTTCTCTGCCTGATAGGGGTATGTGTGAAGATTAATAAAATTAATGTTTGTAAAATGCTATGAAGTTGAAAAGTACTATATAAGTGCTATATTTTTTGTGCAGAGTGGGGAAGATATTTTTGTCCATTTGTATTCAATTTGTAGATACATAGTTGTAAAATACTTTTATGAATCCCTTTGTGGTAGAAAACTTCTTATTGCCAGGGACATTTTTAGTGAGCTGGGTGGATGCCCCTCCTACCCCAAGTATCAGGGGGTAGCCGTGTTAGTCTGTATCTACAAAAACAACAAGGAGTCTGGTGGCACCTTAAAGACTAACAAAACTGCTACCCCAAAATACCCATGCCACAGCACTACTACAAAACCCTTCAGTTGAGTTACTCCTGACTTACAGAAGATCTGTAAAATCAGATAGAGGACATTAGGTTCATGCTCAGTATATTTGGAAATACTTTGGAGGGGTCTCTTACAACAGGAGGTTGCCTAAAAAGGGTGGGGCAGAAACATACTGTATTCTTCTTTATTTCCTGTCCTAAATTACTATGAGCTGATAAACGGTTTCTACATTTCATTCCAAAGACGGCTGTATTTTCATGTACACCGTAGAAAACATGTTTCTCATTAGGGTTAAACAAAATCATTTAGAAAGATGAATAAGAAAAAGTACAAATAGTGAAGTGTTACCTAGTCATTAGCACAGGAAACACCTTGAATTACTGCATGTATATTACATCAAATACCACCAGCTTCTTTCTCACGCCACCATAGAATCCTTGAAGATTACTTTGCCCAGAATTTACTCTCCCACTCTTCACTTATTGTTCAGCTAGGCAGGGCTTCAACCACCTACCCACCCAGTATTTCCCAGATAAAGTGAGCAATCAACCACTGAGCCTGTGAAAAGTTCAATTTGAGCTACATTGACAGTTTTTTGAAAGAGACGTTTCACAGTATCTGCCCCTAGTAGGCAGACTTTTCCCACCATTACTCAGGCAAAGAAGTGTTGTTAAGATATACTGCACCAAAAGAAATTGTTCATAGCCGTTTTCTGGGCCCAATGAGCAGTGTATTTTAATGAGTACCTTTTATCTGCCATGTAAATCCTCATTGACTTCATGAGTGTGTGTTTGGCACTACTCCCACTTGGGCCCAGGACTGCGTTAATCACATATTGGCACTGAAGCTGGAGGAGTACATAAGGCCCACTCCTGCAAAGTGCTGAGCACCACTGCTTTCCATTTAAATCAGGATTTGCCCCCTAATTGGCATAAAATTGAGCAGATTGAAGCTTACCTCATCTTTAATATGGAGGGGTAGCTCACAGACACTAAAGATCCCATCTTGCAATGCTCCATCTTGATCTCAGCAACCTTCCACTGGATCAAAAGGAAAGATTGCATGGTGAAGCACATAGTCTGTTTGGGCCATGTCTGTTTCTCAGAAAGAAGGTGGATCACATCGCTGGATACTGAGAGTCACATTTAGCTTGCAAGATACATTTTGCCAACCCCTGCAGCAAAGAGTTCAAACGCCAGAGTTGAAAAACCCATTGATGACTTTGCAAAATTACCTGAACTGCAAAATGAAAAACCTTTGCAAACTGTTGCTAGCCTAATTTGTTCTACTGGCCTATTTTAACACTGCTGGTTCAGTTGATTTCAGTATGAAAACACATTTTGCATAGACATTTTTCTGAAATGCAGCCTGATCAACAGTTTTCTTTGTCAGTCAATTTTTTGTTGTACTAACTGATAAATTGCACACATACAAAACATTGATGTGGTTTTTGAAATTTTATTGTCTCATTAAGGAATAAATGTTATTTTTTGTTTATCATTTTACTGAATTTTTGAAGGACAGGCCTACACAAAGAATATCTAATATTTATAATTGCTAAAGAAGTCTCAGCAGATATAACAAATAGATGTAATGCAATTCTGTGTTTGTAAAAGGCCTAGCATAATGGGGCCTCGATCCCTGACTGGTGCTTTTAGATGCTACAAAACTCAAGTAATAATAATGCTCTATATGTTGAATAAATTTTTGTATTGAATTAAGACAAATTAAGTCAGATAGGCAGCCCCTAGATTCCAAATGTTGAGAATTTGTCTTATTAAGCTTTAATCTATCATATTTCATATTTATAAATCAAGAAATTGTGATGAAACCTCTGGTCAATATGCAGGTTATGTGTTATACCCTTATGCATGAGCTTAATGGCTATGGTTAATAGAATGTTAAATAGTTTCTTAATATAACTCTGTTATACGTAGAGATTTAACTATAATTTAGGCTACTCTTCTTATTGTGGAAAAAATATACCAGTATTCAACTCTAGTTAATGTATATATTATATACACCTCTACCTCGATATAACGCTGTCCTCGGGAGCCAAAAAATCTTACCGCGTTATAGGTGAAACCACGTTATATCGAACTTGCTTTGATCCGCCGGAGTGCGCAGCCCCGCCCCCCCACCCCCCTGGAGCACTACTTTACCGCGTTATATCTGAATTTGTGTTATATTGGGTTGCATTATATCGGGGTAGAGGTGTTTATACAAAAAAAGGAGCCCTTGTTTGACCTTTTGGATTTATATTGTTCATTCCCTGTGTTCCAAGCAAATCAAGGATAGGCACATAAAGATGGATAACAGGCCAAATTCTGCCCTGGGATACACACAAGTAATTCCCACCAAATTCTCTGGGACTTTTGTGTGCATATTTTTGAAGGCAGAGTTTGGCCCTTAGTTTGTCACCCAGTATATTAAGAATCTCCATTCCCTTTTGGCTCTATATTACTGAAGCCAGGTTGGCCTTGGAGATAGTTCACAGGGAGCAAGAACCCCACTAGTTGATTTGCCAGTGGAAAATAAAGTATGCTGTAAATGTTAGCAGCGGATTTGAAGAATAGAAATTCCATTTATCTACATGTACTGCCTGGTGAACTTAAGTGACTTTACATTGTTATAGGGTCAAAGGCTTTTCACCTTCACACTCTTCAGGCAAAGCCTAAATAAACAGGCATTGCACGGGCCTTTAAAAGCACTTGGCTACTAGAGTGCAGGGCAGTATAGAAATACCTAAAATGGAAAG